AAATGCCTCTCCGCTCTTTTGAGGGTAAGATATGGTGCCGGGTGCCAGTGATGGTCGGATTCAGCGGCTTGCGAAGAAAGCTCCGGGCGCGCTGCTTCCTCGGAGACGTTGTAGAACTCGAACCGAGTACATTGTCGGGAAACAGTACCGCTTGCATCAAGAAGATCACGAACTGTAGATATATCATAAACCTTCAAGTGTTCCTCGATGGCTTTGGGATCGCGGAGGACGTAGATGGTGGGGTGGGTTTTGCCAAATTCTTCGAGCATGGATTGGATACGCCTCTCCATCCAGGAACAAACAATAATTGCATTCCTGCTGTGCTCTTCGAGGACGTCGCGCATGACGCTAACCTGACGCTCCTGGTGCTCGAACGAACCCCAGGTTTTCTTGTACGCCGGACCGGAGACACCAATGACATCGTGGAAGGCCTTGTCCAGCTCAACAATTTTGCGGTTCATTGCCGTGGAAGCAATGACAGCAAGGGTCGACTTGCCGGCTCCACGGATGCCGGTGACGACAATGGAGGCATCCACGACATAGGAAGTCGGCACCACAGTTACAACGGAACATGGCGGAGAGCTGGATACCGAACGAGATGCTAGCCACGCACGTTAGCCAGTGTATAAGAAGAGAAGGAGGAATAAGAGATCAAAGGGAAGCAGATCAGACAACATACCTCTGCCACTAGAGACGGCTGAGAGGCTTGGCGGTAGCCCGTACCGCTGCGGCGTTCCCGGCTCCGAATATCGGATGCCGGGAGTCCGGAGCTTGGAGACGGGCTGTGACTCGGGTTGCCGATTCCCGGGTTTGGCCATGGCCGAGAAAGAGCGCTTGATGCCGGCAGCTATTGGTGAACCCATGCTCGATGTCTAATGGCCAAGGGGTGCTGGATTAGACGGTCTTCTGGTAAAGCCGACTCTTGGTCCGAGGCGCCGAACAAGCGGGGGGCAGATGGGGTGCGCAGACTGTCTCGGAGGACTCCTGGTAAAAACTTGGAAGGCAAATGAACGGCTGTAGTTCGAAGGACTCATCAAGATTTCGTCATGCGGCCATCTTGGTCGATAACGGCCGACGGTGAGAATCGCTTCTGACCTAGCTACCTTAGCATCTCAGATAACCAGGCTGTGAGTGTGGTTTGCGGTAGGTATCCTTTTCGGGTCAGGCCAGATCGATGAGAACAACGACCCGCCTGTGGAGAGTATGATTAAGCCCTCCAGCTCGCGGCATGGCTAGAGACTGTGAATGGGGTTGTGGATGAATAGTTGGAGTCGAGTTCACTGCCCGTGCCCGAGGTGGTTTCCTCCAGATTGGCGCCATGGCGGCCAAGGCCAGGGCAGTGATGACCTGAGGGTGCACTTTCCGGGCTCCGAGGCCTGCGCGATTGGGGGATAAACACTTATCCCCCTGTATCGGCTTAGGTAATTCCCGCGTGGGCCAATCTCTCACCACCCTTCAATTGTGTTGGAAGGTGCACCCCTGAAGCAACCCGTGACAACATCAGTCAAGGAAAGAGAGTCTGGGACTCTGGGGAAGGAGTCAGCCCATCAGCAGCTGCCCCGGGCAGCCAAAGGTCTGGGATGAGAGAAGGAAGGGTCGAGTGTTGCGTTCCGCTTCCCCGCACATCGTCGCTCGGTCCGTCCGTCATAGGTTTCGGCTTGTGGATGCCCTTTCCTAGAATCTTCAATCTCCAGTTCCGTCCCCGTGTTGTTTTCCCTGCCGACCCACTGTGCTGCAATTAGACTCAAACACTACTGGAAAAGACTCTGGAGAAGACAAGACCCCAGATTTCCGTTGAGCATCGGAAAGCGGGGGACTGTCGTCGGATCGAGGCCTCTGTCCCCCTCGTCGTCCTCTAAGCCAACGCACCAGCTGCAACGTTACCTACTTGAAAGGCATCGTCACCACCTAATGCCCGGACAGCTGGTGATCACTGAGATCACCAATGCGGCGTTGTCTGCCCGGTACATGACGTTGCAAGCATGGTCTGAACGACACGAAAAAGGCATACTGGACTCAGGCGCATCGCTGCCAGCGCTGACAACCACCATTGGCCTGCCAGATATCTTTCCTGTGCCATGCCGCCAAAACGAAAGGTACCCGGGACCGACATTTCCAGTGATACCAACCGTGTCACCACTGCCGACCCGGACTCTGCTGTGGTTCCTGCCCTTGTACCGGTGAAGCGTCAGCGAGTTTCGAGAGCCTGTGACCAGTGTCGTGCGGCACGCGAGAAGTGTGATGGTGTCCAGCCTCACTGCTTCCCATGCGTTTCACAGAAGAGGTCATGCACCTACCAGGTCAATCCCAGAAAGCGAGGTGTCCAGACTGGCTATATCCGTACCCTTGAGATCGCCCTTGCCTTAGTCTTCGAGAAAGTAACTGGCAGCGAAGATGCCCTGAATGCCGTCTTGACTCAACAAGGTAGCCATGGCCAGATTGTTCTGGCTGGCAAAGACCCTAATGGTGCAGAGCGTCTGCACCGGAGATGGAGCAAGAGTCGAGTCCACAGATGCATCGATCACATACTGTCCGGCGGCGATTCAGCACCTCCAGGTACCCCATCTCCAGACCGACGGTCCCTCTCGCCAGAAGCCAATGATGCCGAAGACGACACGCCAAGGCCGAGTCTTGGACAGTCACCGAGAGTGCGCAGTGAGAATGCACCCCATGTGCCATCACCTTCTGATGGTGGTTCTCTCGGCCACCATAGTCTTCCGTCCGCAGCCGAATTGGAACCATTGACGCTAGGAGATGACGACCAGCCATTCACCGAACATTCCAAACAAGCGGCTCGCCCAAGTAGTGCTTACAGATCTACCTCGACTTCAGCAACCTTACTGAGACTCCCGACCAACCATTGGCGTTTACTGGATATCTACTTTTCCTACACCCACTCGTGGCTGCCCATCTTGGAAAAGCAGGACTTGTTCCAAGCATCTTATCGCTATTCGGACCAGGATCTTGCTGTCAACCCCCGAGAGTCTTCTTCTGCGGTCCATGCGGAGCTATGGAGTGCTCTTGCGCTGGCTTCGTTCCAGGATTCTGCAACTTCCACGGCCGCTTTACAACCTGAAGCCGATGTCCTCGGTCGATCACCTGCCGACATTTTTGCTGTTGCCCGCAGTCTTGTTCCTCTAGAAAATGGACCATTCCAACTTCACCACTCTCGAGCTCTTCTTCTATTGAGTTTGATCAGCCTTGGAAAGGGGGATCTGACGGCTGCGTGGCTGTTAGTCGGCTCGGCTATTCGGATCTCTATCGATCTCAACCGACATCGAAGCTCTCATGACGGTCGAGAACAACGCCGTATGCAGTCGGTATTGATAGCGTGCTTCATCGTGGACACCATTGTCTCGGTGCGGTATGATAGGCCGCCCCAACTGGATACAGAAGACGTCGATTGCGTGTTTCCTGTCTCTGAAGATGGCCTGGACCAGTGGGAACCATGGGCGGCTTGTGAGGGATTTGGAGTTGCCAATCCTGGCGTCCATGTGCCTCGTAGTCCTGCATACTGCCAAAGTACGTTCAACCAACTCTATCGCATATTGAAGCTCGTCGCGGGTGAGATGTCGGCCAGAGGTGGCAGGCCGACCCCTGGAGGGCGGACACTTCCGTTCATCTCAGAACTACGCCAGGCAGTCAGTCCCCACGCACCATTCGGCAACTTTACCATCTCGGCAGAGATCGGTGCTGGGCCTGTCCCCACGGCTTATCTCATTCGGTTCGTTTATCTCTGGGCGGAAGCTCTCATTGAACCTCAGACCCCGTATTGGGTGGCTCGCATCCAAGACACCATCCACCACTACCAAACACAGTTTGGCGCGTGCAGTATTCCCCCTTTCATCCCTTCGTGTCTCATTTCCCTGTCCACTTCAAGCAACCAAGCAAATGACGGTGAACTCGACAAGCAACACTTTGATGAGCTGGTGTCAGTCTTGTCCGAGATCTGGGGCAGGAAAGGTCAAGCCACGAACACTACTCCTCCTTACCAGATCAGTCCCATGACAGAGCCGAACCCGACATCATCGGGCTTGACACGCTCCACGCAGCCTTCAGCTCCGGTCGGCTCGGCGACCATGCCGGCAGACCTACCCACTCCGTCACTATATAGCGACGTGCCTCCATCTCAGACGGAGAATGCCGGATATAGGCATTTAAATGCCTCCTCAAGAGCTGACCCTTACCAACAACAATCTTCGACTTTCCTAGAGGCCCCTCCAGCGACACTGCCCCAGAGCAGTAATGTCAACGTTCACATGCAAGGAAGTTTCGTGGCAGGCGGAATCCCGAGGATGCACACATCCTCTATACACGCTCTGCCCTATGCGGGCTTTGGTGACAACAGCTCTATGGACTACGATGCGCTCTTAGACAACCTGGCGTCCATTGAATGCACCGACCCTGTGGATGTTGATCCACAGTTTATGACGAACCTGGGATTTGCTCCTGGTTGCGATTTCAGCGACATTTTGACGCGCGAGTTTCCTGATATATAGCGATGGACATCTGTGTACGATGAACGGAGTAGCTCCTATGTTTTTGAGTTAAACTTCCTCTACTGCCATACATCTATACCACTGTTGTTACGATGGTCCGTCCAGGTTAGATGAGGTGGTTTTCCTGAAACGATCATTAAGTCTTGATAGCGAGAATATTTGTCATTTGGGTTTTGTACACAATATAAAACAAAAAGGGGCACTATAGTGGTTGAAGCGACGTCGGGAGCTATCCGTACACATTTACACCATTCCACGAGACATTCCATCAACTTGTAAAAGAAGTTCAATTCAAATCACCAATCACCTCCTTTTCAATTATTCAAGACTTTACCTAGGGAATCCAACGTACTAAAGATACTTCTTCCCTTTTTTCTCAAGTTCCTTCAAGTCGTTTTTGATGTTATGTTGTAGAGTAAATCCTGAATCTTTTGAAGAGTGGGAGATGTGCCGTCGTCTCGGCTACTTGTGGGTTAAACTTGCTACCAAACTTCATCCGAAGGTGAGATGGCCGAGCGGTCTAAGGCGCCACGTTAAGGTTCAACAACCCTTAATCCCAATATCCGTGGTCCGAAAGGGCGTGGGTTCGAATCCCACTCTCATCATAACTTTTTCTTACTTAGAAGTAGTTTAATCCCTTTTTCATCTTTACTATCGTGTATTTTTCATTTTAAAGCGTGATCGTCTGGAATGACTACTTAGGGAGATGGGGGTTTTCATGGAATCCCCGTAGTCGGTACAAAAAGCTCTCCTTACTTACTTACCATTGCGATTAATGGAGAGGCGTTCTCGAGGGACTGTAAGAAACGTCTTCCTAAACTGTCTGTAGTACAAACAGAACATCCAATCTGAGAGACCTTAAAGTTCGCACGTATGTATTTCGGGTCACCTTTGGAGTATACATGTATGGCCCCACGGTTTGGGAAGATGATTCTCACACTCCCTCGTGACCAACTCCTAATCAAGATAAATATAGAACGATAAGCACATGCCCGCTCCATACCCCCATAGACTAATTTAATATGGACTGGCCAGAGCAGGACGAAAACAATTTGAATTTGGTAACTACCTAGGTTTGTACCAATCCCAACCCGATAAATGAAGTATAATCCCTAGCACGTTGTGTTACAATTAGGCCCCTAGTTTCAATCGCAGCCTTCTAAAAAAAAAACCACCTGATGTTTATTTCTGCGCCCGAATAAAACGGGGGTCCATAACCTCCAGCTCTCTGAGATTCTCTTGCATCTCTGCTACGGGGTCGGTTCCAACCTTTGCAGCAGGAGTTGAGGTGGTATTCAACTTCACACCATACAGATACGGCTTCTCGTTGGCGTAACAATCAATCTCTGACTTCTCCGGTAGTGTCCCGTTGAGAATGAACGCCTTGGAGGCGGCGATGGTGCAGTCCGAGTTGTCAGCTGTTGACGAATGTCCGTAGCCGTGGTGGACGATCAACCGCGCATTCGGCCCCATCTCCTGGGCCAGCCGTCTGCCATTTCGCAACGGGGTCGCAGGGTCATAGGTCTCCGCGATCAGCAGCACCGGGTGCTTCAGAGTGTAACTCAGGTCGCCGCGGAATACTTCGGCCGGCTTGGGCCAGAACTCTTTGAACCGTCGGCAGGGAAAGACGCTATAAAAACGGGAATCGCCACCTATCCAGGCCTGCGTGGTCATGTTGGCCCACAGCGACAGCCACCAGTCCAGATCACCAGCGGGCTCGGGGGCATCATACGAGTCACCGCAGACGACCATGTTAAATAGCTCTTCGGAGGACGTGTCTTCGAAAGCCGGGCATGGAAGGGTCGGGTCGTAATACCACGAGTTATTTTCGAGAGCCGCAGCTGTAGATGTCGTATTGCCACCCTCGAGGTCATAGAGAATTTCTGCAAGCGGGGGCCAGCTCCGCGGACTGTACATCGTGCCGTAGATGACCGAGACGAGGGCCGAGTACGTGATTATCGAAGGGCCGGTCTTTTTGGTATATCCGGGAAGGGGTTGGGCGGCAAGTGAGGAGAACATGGCACTCATACGGCGATCGAGGTCTGGGAGTGTGACGGGCTTGCCATCCCGAGGTTGGGCAAGGGCACAGTACTTTGGCCCCGCCTTTACGCACTCGCCCAAGAACCCGTCATGCCAGGCGTTGGTGATGTTGTCGAGGGCGGTGAAACCGAAACCGCCCAGAACGCGGTGGTCACGGACGTACTCGGTGCCGTCCAGGATCACGCGACCCACGCTGTCAGGAAACATGCCGGCGTATGTTTGCCCAATCCCGGTTCCGTAGCTGACGAGATAGCCAGTTAGCTCGTCCTCGCCGAGTGCGATGCGGATCTCCTCCATGTCGCGGGCCACGAACGACGTGCCGAGAAAACGGCCTATGTCGCCATACTTCTCGAAGCAGGCGCGGAAGGTGGCTTCGTTCATGGCATCCGCGATTTCGAGTTGATCACGCGGAGATCTTGACACGGTGGCCCGGAACTGCGATGTGAGCAGGTACCAACGGTCTCGATCGGCGTCCTCCGGGAAGCATGAGATGGACGGTAACGAGGAGTTGACGCCCCGGGGATCCCAACCCAGGACGTCAAACTGGTCGTCACTAAATCGGCGGGAAATAGCCTCAGCAGATCCCCATGCGTATGACACGCCGCTTCCACCCGGCCCACCAGGCTCAACCACTATTGTGCGATTGCTCTTTTTGCCGGTGCCTGGAGGGGAGCCAGAGCTGGCAAGCCCCAAGACCTGATACTTGGTGACGGCGAGCCTGGCAACGCGAGGGTCTGCTTTGTTCGTGTAGTCAAGCGGGACATCGAGGTAGCCGCACAGATAGATGCCTCGCCCAGCAAAGGGATCGCCGAGGCTCTGGTTGTTTCTCTTCTTGGCTCCCCAGTTCCAGTGATCAGGATTCGGATCGAACTGGGCAGCCCATGCCTGGGGCGCATTGGAGTTGTTGAGTGCGGGCAGCACAGCCGCTCCTGTGCAGGGCAGAAAGCGGAACGGGTCGTTGGCAACCGGAAAGTCGCCATACGGAGATGCGCGTAATGCCGATGGACTTGCCAGACCCTGATGTGCAGGCTGGATTACTGTCGTCTCGGGACACGAGTTGGCGATCGACGTGCCGCTCCAATACGGAATGGTAGCAACCAGCAGCAGGACAAGGACGACTGCAGGTTGCAAGACCCACCGACCGCGTCGATGCAGCGGCGAATTTGACGTCCAAAATGAAGCAGTCGGCTTTGGTAGCAGCGGCGTTGGTGGCAACAACAACGGCGCCTTCTCCATTGTCGACTTCGGATCCGAGTCCTCCGAGTCTCCGTAACTGTTCCGGGGAGGAGTTTGTCGAGGCAGGACCGACCGTCCCACACCCTCACCAAGACGTGCGGGGCCGGGACGCTCTGGGAAAATGCCATGCGAGCGGCCATGAGGGGTCTCGAGGGTCTCGCTGCCCTCGAACTGGTCAAATCCACTCAACACCTTCCATTTGCCGCAAACACCACCACCGTTTCCACCTCCGTGGTACTGTCTCGGTCTCATCATGTAAGGTTTTGCAGACGACGGAGCAGAAAACCACAACCTCTGCAGCCAGCACAACCGAGACACCTAACCAAATCATTGGGCCTCTTTATCTTTTGGATCCTCTCCTGAATAATTAGGCATCATCAAGGACCTCAAATCTTACACATTTTATCCAAAACGACAATATCGACGCGCTTTAGCCGAACGAGCGCGTCTACTCTAAACTTTTGGGAACGACAACCGTCACTCCCGGAGATTAGAGAATGCCATTTTCCGCGTCTTTGGTAAATACGAGCGGGAAAGGGGTAAATTGATTACAGTCCCAGGTGCTCACCGCTCGGGGTTATCCCCTGGTTGATACTCTGATTCCATTAAATAGAGAAAGCAGCTTGCCAGCTAAATCTCCAGTTCTCTCAAAGACCTGGATAATTCTATTTCGTGTTGAATAGGGGTTAGTTCTGAGGAAGTCTTCCATCCGTTTGCCATCCCTAACAAAGGTACAATTGTTTACTGATAGAATATTTATTAACTGGCGCTGAATACCTGTAATCATTGATTAATAGCTCAATTAGACAACGCTGATATACTAAGAATAAGAGGTAGATAGGTACCTGGTGATCCTTTGAAATTGTACATCACTTACTTTAATAAGTTTCAAGTCGTCTAGCCGCGTAAGGACAGGCCTAAAACAGAATGGAGGATACAATATTGAAAGCTGTGTCAAATACAAATGAGGCACCATACAATTGCTCTATCGAGACCTAATTAGTCGCTGAGAATCTGGAAGGGAAGGGGAGTGTGGCCCAAATGGAGAATACAAGTCGAAGCCCATTTGTCATAACCAATCATACCGTCGCCCGCTTGGCTCAGTGGTAGAGCGTATCACTAGTAATGATAAGGTCATCAGTTCGATTCTGATAGTGGGCAATCAACGTTAGTTGCCTTTATTTCGTGAAAGTATCTAACTTTTTGATGATACCAGCATATATATATAATTGTGCGAGTGTTTTTTTATTGCTTGGACTGCTTGCTCACAGGTTTTCCAGTTGCGAATGGAAAATCAGATCAGCTAACTAACTTCCTCCGTTCTTTTCATTAAAGTGAGCGAGTCTCTCTTTCTACTACTGCGTTTCATTCTCGGCTTCACCAGCTTGTCTACGTTATCTATAAATGACGTTGCTTTGCGCATCCACAAGTTGAACAAACAGAACAGATAGATAGATCATAGATAACTTATGTCTACTATTACTTTCGAGAGTTTTCCCACATGGATAAGCGACAGATATCGTATATGCAATGCACCCTAAGATAAACAAGGCCATTGCACATTCATACTTGAAAAATGCAAAGGGAGGCAGCCTGAGACCTTTCTTAGGGTAGATACTTGGTACACAATCTAGCGACCTGGTGGCATGAAGGGCTTTCAAATACAGTTAGTTGCCTGCATAGGTAAGTAAGATTAGTAACAATAACTTCATCTCGAATAACGACTTATCAAACAGTACCCTGACTGAACACATCTGACCAACGCGAATAAACCCAACGTAAAACTGCCGCATCGATATATCCTTAACACCCGGGCCCTGAAAGAGCTTCCGCGGTCCAAATGTGGTGGTGCTCATAACGGTCTCGTCAGGCTGCCGCAGCCTCCACAACTTGAAGCCCAACTGACCAGGACCGGCAGCATTGTCAAGCGACTAGAAAAATACCAGCGTCTCAATACCGTTGTCGGATCCTACCAGCTCCCGGCCGATACAGTCCACCTGATCCAGTCCGGGATCATGCAGATCTCTCTCCAGGAAAAGCCGTTCGTACTATTAATCCTATAGCCGAGAAGGTTGTTCTCTGAGTCACGCATGAGCCGCCAGCGAGGATGCAAGTACGGTAGGGCCCACTGGATGCTATCTTAGTAGTGGCGCCCCGCTGGACGACGATTCGTCATCGCGGGCTGGTTGCGGGTGACTCTGTACTGGCTCACGATGGCAGACTCGCCGCGTTGGTCAGCGAAGGTCGACTCTTGGTCCATGTCACGACCACTCAACCACTACCGTCGACATAGGTCACCGTCAGTGTTGATCTGTACACCCTCAACGCA